AATTTCCAACAAAGAGAATGTCTCAAGCAACAAGCTTATTGACTCTAGTTCCACTTTAACCGAGTCCGAGTTGGAAAGGGCTGATGACAAGGCGCCTAAACTACCCGAGCAAACCATTTCAGAAAATTCTCTCCCACAACCAGATCTGGATGAAGAATTTTTGGAGATGTTAGGAGAAGAAATTCCGTCGACTGAATCACAGGTTAAGGTAGATGAAGGTGTGAAAAGGTGGTGGAAAAACTGGATCTTGAAAGGACTACCAGAGGAAAACAAAAAAGAAATACTAAAGAAATATTGTAGAAACGGTGATTTTTTCACAGAGGCTCCAAAGATAAATCTGGCCATTGAACGTCATCTGTCAGAGATTGCTAAAAAACGTGATAAACACTTCGTAGACACCCAGAATTGCCTTGGAACAGCTATTGTCTCCCTGAGTGCAGCTGTATCATTGGCAATGAACATAGATGAAAACATTGACTATGTCCAACTGATGAAATATCTTTGGGACACAGGAAAACTCCTGTGCGAGGTTTATCATGATCAATCTGTCGCTAGGAAATCGTTTATCACACCTGTACTTGATAAGGCAATCAAACCAACACTTGACGCTAGTATTTCAGACGAATGGCTATACGGTGAAAATTTGACTGATCAAATTAAAGATATAAAAGCCATCGAGAAAGCCTCGGCCTCATTGAAAGCTCCAGAGAAATTTCCAGCAAGAAAAATTCTTCCTAGACCTACGTTTCAGGGAAACTGGGGGAACCCACCGACCAGGCATGGCCAGGTGGGTCAATATGCACAGAAAAGGTTTACGAACATGAAATACAAACCCAAATCGACGCCATCACAGTCATCCCAAAAACCCAGCAACGAGAAAACTCGAACAGGAAACAGATCAATCAAGAAGTAGAGGTAATTCCCATTGCTGGTAGGCTGCAATTTTTTCTAGATAAGTGGAAAAACATAACCAATGACAAAACGATTCTACATTGGCTAAAAGGTTATGAGATCCCTTTCAAAAAACAACCGATCCAAAACGATTATCAACAAGAGCCAACTTGGTCATTAGATGAAAAAATAAAAATCAAAAAGGAAATTAAATCACTGTTATCTAAAGGAGCGATTGAAAAATGTGAAGACTGTAAAAACCAATTCCTGTCAAGGTATTTCCTGGTCCCTAAACCTGATGGATCTAATCGTTTCATTATTAATTTGAAAAAGCTAAAAAAATTCATTCACACAAATCATTTTAAAATGGAGGACTTGAAGACAGTTAAACATCTTCTGTCCCAAAATGATTATATGTTCACAATAGATTTAAAGGATGCCTATTTGTTAATACCCATGTGTGACAATAGCAGGAAATTCTTACGTTTCCGTTTCGATGATAAATTATATCAATTCACATGTCTTCCTTTCGGTTTGAGTACAAGTCCATACGTGTTTACCAAAATTATGAAACCGGTTATTAATGTTTTACGGACCCAAGGCCTCTTGTCGGTGATATATTTGGATGATATATTGGGCATTAGTGGTACTGTTGAGGGTTGTGAGGCCAACGCCTTAAAAACAAAGATCATATTAGAAGAATTGGGGTTTATTATAAATTACCAGAAAAGCTCTATGACACCCAAAAGAAGACAAAAATATTTAGGTTTCATCATAAATTCTACGGAATATCAAATTGAAATGACTGAAGACAAGAAAACAAACGTAATGAGGCTATTAAATCAATTTTCATTGAAAGAGCAGTACAAAATTCGTGACGTTGCACATCTTCTAGGAAAATTAGTGTCTTGTTGCCCAGGAGTTGACTATGGAAAAATTTATTGTAAAAGACTTGAACGTGAAAAATGGTTGGCGCTATTGAAGAATGATAATAATTTTGAAGGTCTTATGAAAATCAGTCAAGCTTCGATGGAAGATATCGTTTGGTGGAAACGTAATATAATGGTAGGGATTAATCCAATTAAAATACAGCAATATAAATTGATCATTAGTTCCGACGCCTCGAGAACAGGTTGGGGTGCTGAGTCGAATGGAGTCGTAACACATGGTTTTTGGGACCAGGAGGACAAAAAATCTCACATCAATTATTTAGAACTCTTGGCAGCTTTCTTCGCGCTAAAATGTTTTGCATCAGACGTCAATAATTGTGAAATATTAGTGCGTATAGACAATACAACTGCAATAGCCTATATAAACAGGGCAGGTGGCATAAAGTTTCCTCATCTTAGCGAGTTGGCTCGAAAAATTTGGCAATGGTGCGAAAGTCGAAAAATCAGGATAGTCGCAACTTATATTCCATCAAAGGAGAATGTACAAGCTGATGCAGCATCTAGAGTCACAAATTATGATACTGAGTGGGAACTTGCTCAATCGTATTATGATCTGGTCATAAAGAAATTCGGTCCTTTCACAATTGATTTATTTGCTTCTCGAATTAATAAAAAATGTGAAAGATATTGCTCTCGTTACCCTGATCCCGAATCAGAAACAGTCGATGCTTTCTCAATCTCGTGGAATAATGAGGATTTCTATGCTTTCCCGCCTTTCGCACTCATTGGTCCGACTTTACGTAAAATAATTAATGATAAAGCGATGGGAATCCTGGTGGTACCCTACTGGCCCACTCAACCATGGTACCCACTCTTCACAGCTTTACTAAGATTTCCTCCTTTAATGTTCGAACCCTCTTCAAAATTATTATTGTCTCCTTGCAGGCAGAAAATGCATCCTTTGGCCCCAAAACTTTCACTAATGGCAGGGAAATTGTCAAGCAATCATACCGGAATAAGGGAATCCCTGAACATGCTTTAGACATTATGATGAATTCAATCACCTCATCAACTCTAAAGCAATATGAGAGACCGCTATTGAAATGGTCAAAATTCTCCAAAGATGAAGGAATTAACATGTTTAATCCTCAAAATATTGATGTGATAAAATTTTTAACTTCAAGATTTGATGAGGGAGCTAGCTACGGTACCTTGAATTCTACCAGATCTGCTATTTCTCTTATAATTGAGAAAGATTTGTCAGAAGATGCACTCATATCTAGATACTTCAGAGGTATTTCCAAGAAACGGCCTCCAAAACCAAAGTATTCTGATACATGGGATACTGAGAAAGTGTTTTCATACATCGAAAATCTAGAGAATATGGCAGAATTAACACTTAAGGAAATATCAGAGATTACCATTACTCTACTTGCACTAGCTACAGCCCATAGATTTCAGACTTTTGCCCTGATCAATGTTAATAACATCGAATCGTCCTCTTCAGGTATTAAAATAAAAATTCCAGACAATATCAAGACCTCCAAGCCCGGAAAGGTCCAACCAACATTGATCTTACCTTTCTTAAATCAAAGAAAAAGGGTGTGCGTAGCCTCTATCATACTACATTACGTAAGATTAACTCAGGACCTGAGAGATAACACTGACAAATTATTTATATCAACGGTCCGCCCATATCGTGCGGTCTGCGCACAAACATTGGGGCATTGGACTAAGGCGTTATTGAAAAAAGCTGGTATCGATATAGAAAAATTCAGTGCTTACAGTACAAAACACGCAGCTGTCTCTGCTGCTTACAATCGAGGTGTTGATGTTCAAACAATAATTAAAACAGCTGGATGGTCTGAGGGATCAAGAGTTTTTGCCCAATTTTATAATAGACCAATCCAGAAATCAGAAGATACTTTTGCAAGAGCAGTGTT